ATCATAGGTGGGTTTTTAATGTACGCTCCGTACAATCTTCTGTACTATACAGGAGGATTTTACCTTTCATTCATTTTCATGTATTATATTAAAAAGAATTACGTATTATGGTGGGAAAAATATAATTATATCCTAACTAGTGCTTTGTCTGCGGGCGTAGCGTTCAGTGCTTTAGTCATCTTCTTCACTGTTCAGAATGATTATACAGCCCTTGATTGGTGGGGGAATCGGGTTAATGAACAGGGTATCGAAGGAGGTATGGCACCTAAGTATACATGGTTAGACGTGAAGCATGCAGAAGACGGCTATATAGGGCTTCGAAAAGGTCACTTTCCATAGGGCAAGCCGCGCATATGCTGCACTCTGTCATTTTCGAGGCTATCAAATTTTACGAGCGTGTCATGGGTATTTTTTCAAGCCTCGTTCTCGAATATATAATAGTTAGATAATTGGCAGGTGATGTGAAGTATTTTATACAGTAGCGTGAAGTATACCAAGACATTATGTACTTCTCAAGACTATTATTATTATGCAGTATTTGTGTTTTTATACTATCAACTATTATTCCTCAAGAGTTAGTGATTAGACCATTCAACATTGGTAGTGATGATGCTCATCAATACGAGAAAGAGAAGAAAGGTATAAATGGCTTAATGAAAAGGTGGAGTTTCGGAGGAGGTTCCAGAGGGGGATTTTCTAGTGGGTCGTCTTCTGGATCTCGTGGAGGCTCATCTAGTGGGTCGTCTTCTGGATCTCGTGGAGGCTCATCTAGTGGGTCTTCTGGATCTCGTGGTGGCTCATCTAGTGGGTCGTCTTCTGGATCTCGCGGAGGCTCATCTAGTGGATCATATTCTGGTCATAGAGGTAGTGGAGGTAGAACAGGTGCAGGTATAGGCGCAGGGTTAGGGATCGGTGCAGCCTCACATCATAGACATGGAAATAGCTCTAACTCCCAAAGTTCGGAGAGCTCTTCTGATTCATTGAAATGTGACTTATCTGGCTCACTTGTTAAGATAGGTATTGCATTATTGTTAACCTTGGCATAGACAGCTATTGGTGTTATGATTTTACGTTTGCATTTAGTCATTCATGTTGATTTTTGTTTTTACATATGCTCATTCATAGTCATTTCCTATTTATACGTTAGAATTTAACGCATCCGTGATTTGAATTAAACTGTAAGTATATATGTAAGATTATTTTTTGAATTACTACAAGAATCACGAAATACTAGATCAAACTATCTTTTTTGTTCCTTTGATCATGGAATGGTTCAGTTGGCAATTGATAAAACCTACAGCTTCAAAGATCAGAGGATATCCGCAAGACCGTAAATGTCGCGGTGAATTTTTTAGAAAATGTCGTGAAAAAGGGTGAATCATCGTTTGGTATTTCCGATGATAAATTATGAAATATTCGTCAATTCTGAATAATTCGACCTTAGTATAGTGGAGAGAAAATAATTAGGAAAATGATTGCTTCATCCTCATTACGTGCTATTGGTAATCGTAATATTGCTAGACAATTTTCTAGAACTAAGACATCAAGCTCGACTTCTGCGTTAGCTTATAAGGCATTGCACCGTAATCAAAAGAGACCACCATTACCTACGTTTGAAACCCCAAACTGGTCGGCAGATGCGGCTGTTTCTTCAATTTTATACGAAACACCAGTTCCATCGAAGGCCCCAAGAAAGCAACATGTTTTAAACTGTTTAGTTCAAAACGAACCGGGTGTGTTAAGTTCGGTTTCTAGTACTTTAGCTGCTAGAGGGTTCAACATTGATTCCTTGGTTGTCTGTAGTACAGAAGTTAAGGATTTGTCTCGTATGACTATTGTGTTGGCCGGTCAAGATGCTGTTGTTGAACAAGCAAGAAGACAAATCGAAGATTTGGTCCCAGTTTATGCCGTTTTGGATTACACCAATGCTGAAATTATCAAGAGAGAATTATTATTAGCAAGAGTTTCATTATTAGGACCTGAATATTTCCACGAGCTTATTGCTACACATAAATTACACACCAGCGATGGTGCCTCTATACCAGATTTGAGTGCTACTGAATCGGCTTACCACCCAAGTAATTTAGCTCCATCTGAAGCTTTGAGACACAAGCATGCCCACTTAGCTCATATTTCAACTATAACTGAAAAATTTGGTGGTAAGATCGTTGATATTGCTGATAGAAACGTTATTGTTGAGTTGAGTGCCAAACCATCCAGAGTTTCCTCGTTCATTCAATTGTTACATCCATTTGGTATTTTAGAAATTGCTAGATCTGGTATGATGGCATTACCAAGAACCCCATTAGATGGTGTTTACGAAGAAGAAGAAGCTGTCAATGCTGCTGACATCGTTGATGCTTCTCAATTACCTCCTGGTTAGATAATTCCTTCCTTTTTCATTGCTTATAATCTATATTCCAATATTATCCCCCCTTGTAGCCTATCTCTAAAAAGTTGCAATATTGATGTTTTAGAGCCCTATTGAAGAGGGTTGTTTCGTATTTACATCGAAAATCCCTGCATATGTAAGGAGGATGGCAGCTACTTCGAACCACTATTTGCTCTTTCTATGAAGTACAAAATAAATCTAAATTTCGCTTGGGGAATCTGCAAAAATGATTGCATTACCTTATTTATGCGTTCCCTTATTATACGCGCATATTGATAGAACTGAACACTTTGGGAAACAGGTGCTGAAAAAACATGGCAATTAATTATTGCAAATTCCGAGTTCGCATTTACTGACTTGTTGCATACTACAATACATAAACTAGAACAATTTTCGACTTGCTCAATGTTTATCTAAAAGTATAACAAGATGAACCAAAATTCTGATACAGTGTGGCATAATTCTGATTATGAGATCAAAGAACAGGATAGGTTTTTGCCTATTGCGAATGGTATGTGGTTAAGTCGATCTGGTTGAAGTAAAAATCATATACTAACGTGAAAAGTTGGAAGAGTAATGAAGAAAGCATTACCATCACACGCAAAGCTATCAAAGGAATCAAAGGAATGTATCCAGGAGTGTGTTTCGGAGTTTATTTCATTTATAACTAGCCAGGCAGCTGACAGATGCCGCTTAGAGAAAAGAAAAACACTTAACGGAGAAGATATACTATGGTCAATGTATATACTAGGATTCGAAAACTATTCAGAAACATTAAAAATATACTTAGCTAAATACAGACAAGTATGTATCTATTCATTTATTTTCATAGGGAACCATTACTAAGACTTTAGTTTGAACAAATGGAAGCAGAGAAAAAGGCACCCAAAAGACGGTCCAAAGCCTCCAAACAAGGAGGTGATTCTCTTTACGATACTGGAACGGACGAGACAAGTCCCAGCGATGAAAAAAGTGAGTATTCGCCAGATTCAGTTAATCAAGTATCTGAACAAGGCGAAGAATTTAATTTTCCCTTTGAAGGCGATTCTGTTCCGCAAACTGGACAATGGAATCCGATAGATAACTACCTTGATCCCAAATATATGTCGAGTCTAAGTTCCAGACGCCAATCGAATATTCGTCTGTTCAACACGGAATCGGAGATCCTGGCCCTAGAGGACTTTGTTGAAAAAATGGAATAATTATGGGCACAATAATAGCGGCAGTTCAAATCTCGGAATCGGATTCCTGGAGTAAAACCAGCAAATCCCACGACAGCCGACGGCATATGAAACAGACGCCAGGTCGTACAGCCTATAACTAAACAGTGCTGAGTACGTACAGGTCCTGTAACACATATTCCTGGCTATTAACAACCTCGCTGCATACAATTTCGTTACCTCAGGGATTAATACTCGATTAGGAAATCCAATATAGCACAAAATTTATTACAATAGTCTACGTTCGATACTTCTCTTAAATTTAATTTAATGTGCGATATAGTTCACTACCTAGTGAGTGAAATCCACGCGTGAGCTTAAGGAATTTAATTTTTCAGTTTGAAACATTGACATAGTGTCCACAATTGAACATAATGTCATGCCAAAATATATGTAGACCACAAATAAAATACCCACAACGGAGTTGGCGAGTACCACTGTCATAGATCTACCCCTGAGAGGCTTGTAGGACACATTTAGTAGAAACAGGTACATAAATTAGATCATTCGAATAAATCAAAGCGCGCACGACCTCGGTTTTTTGATACGATTTTTTTACCAGAAACAGGTTTCACAATTATCTAAAGATCCTTTCAACGGATATTTGATAATAACACATACGTAGTAATGATCAAGTCATTTAGAAGAAATAAAGGGCTGTCGCATAGTTCTGGTTCGCCAAAGCACTCGATTTCACGAGTTGGATCGTCGCATTCGGCCAATACTAGCTTTGAGAGTGCTGATTTACAGTCACCAAAGAAGGTAATCAAGGCGCTATATGATTATCAACCACAAGGACCAGGGGAATTGAAATTTCTGAAAGGAGATTTCTTTCATGTGTTGACGGATGGAGAAAATAAAGAACATGAAAGTAATGGGTGGTGTGAGGCTACGAATCCGATGACAAATTCGAAGGGGATGGTGCCAATTAGTTATTTTGAAGTATTCAACAGATCTAGACCTATGGAGGCCTCCAGTACTTCCTCTCCACAACAAAAGGCGCGTACACAAAGAAATTCTAACCAGACTTTGTATGCTGTTACTTTATACGAATTTAAGGCTGAAAGAGACGACGAGCTTGACATCATTCCAGGCGAGAACTTGATTATATGTGCCCACCATGCATTTGAATGGTTTATTGCAAAACCAATTAATAGATTAGGGGGACCTGGCTTGGTACCTGTTCTGTATGTCAAAATTATAGATTTAGTGAATCCACTGAATTCTCAGGAGAATAATGATGATATGGTGAAAGTTATAAACGATTTCAAAATTCCTACTGTCGAAGAGTGGAAAGACCAGACAGCCAAATATCAAGCGTCGACTATTCCATTGGGCTCTATATCTAACCAAGCACCACCTGTTTCGTCGCATACTCAATTTTTCCAAAAAGAAGCACAAGATGCATCAGAATCTAATAGATCGTCATTAAGTTTAACAAACACTTCTATATTAGAAGCAACAGTTGACTCATACCAATTAGACCAAGGCCGTTATCAATATTTAATCATCGCAAAGTTGAGCAACGGTAAAACACGTTATTTATATCGTTACTACCAGGATTTTTATGATTTGCAGGTGAAATTATTGGAATTGTTTCCATATGAAGCTGGAAAAATCGAAAATTCAAAGAGAATTATCCCATCTATTCCAGGTCCTCTAATCAATGTGAATGATAGTATCTCGAAGTTAAGGAGAGAAAAATTGGATTACTACTTAAGGAATCTTATTGCTTTACCACCTCATATTTCAAAATCAGAAGAGGTATTAAGGTTGCTAGAGGTTCTAGATAATGGATTTGACAAAGAGGTTTCGGATACTAAAAAGGAGAGGAGATCTCTGAAACCAATAAGTCAAAAGTCAAATTACCAACAGGATAGAATGTCTCAATACTCAACTTTCCATAATCCTTCAAGTACACAAAACAGATCATCATCTACACCCACTTCTTCTGACTCAGTATTAAACCGCTCCTTGTCCTCGTCATCAACTAACCTTATGAATTCTTTTGCTAGTACTGGTACTGGCTTGGAAACTAGTACAGGACATCCGGCTCCATATTCCAATGGCGCAGAACCAAAACAAGGAAAAGTAAAGGTTAAGTTCTATTATGATGACGATATATTTGTCTTATTGTTACCTACTAACTTAAGATTACGAGACTTAAAATCAAAATTATGTAAAAGGTTAAGCTTGCATGAATCAACAAGACTTGATTCAAATGATATAGTGCATCTATTCTTGAAGAATGATTACGATGATTTCTTGAATGAGAATGATTCTGCTAATGGGGAACTTCTGGAAACCAATAAACTCAAATTGTCTACTTTTGAAATTAATGACGATGAGAAATTTCAAAATGTATTATACGATAAATGCAAGTTAACGATTCTTGTTTGATATTGACCTCAATCTAGTTCAATGTTATCAAACTTATATAGCTATATTGGTTATTTATTAGGTACTAATAGAATATTGATAATATGCAGGACACACACGCTGACTGTTTATGAAAACAGTAAACAAGAAGACAGACCCAATATATTAGTTAAAAAGGTACTGAAGTAGTATACCGGGAAGCAAAAAAAGTTCTAGCGGTATAAAACCAAATGCCTGATTCTTCAGAGTATTCTATGAAGTCAACGGAATCAAAATTGAAGCTGTCTCAGAGCCATAAAAATAATTCTATATTCAGTAGAATTTATAATCTTTTTAAGAATGGATTACTGAATGAGTTGGATGATGAGCAGCAACATGCTAAAATAAAGAATCATGATTCGAAGAAAAAACTGATTAGGAAGAAGGTAACAATGGTTAATAAAGTAACTAAATCACCAAGGACTAAGACAATGAAAATTAAGAATAAGCAATTAGCTAAAGTTTTGCAAGACAAGAAGACTGTCTCAGAATTGAAAAACAACCAGGAGCAATTCAATATTCCAATTAAGCCACCTGTTCTTGAGTCTTTGAAGCTAAGAACTGAAGATACTCAAAAGCCAATCCGTAATACAGTTCCGCATAATGATACATACGAAGGTAAGAAAAATATAAAACCACAGATCATTCAATTGGGACCCAGAAAGGCTATACGTATAGACCCGAACTCATCTACCTCAAGTGTATCATTATCACCACCTGCTGTACCAGTAGCGCAATCCACTATACCAGTATTACAATCCACTGTACCAGTATCACAATCAACTGTACCAGTATCACAATCAACTGTACCAGAGTCACCGCCAGCTGTATCGGTCTCATCACCAACCTTACCAGCATCGCGATCGTTTGTACCAATGTCACCGCTGACTGTACCTGTGTCACCACCGACGGTGTCATTATCACCACCTGCTGTATCAGTTTCATCACCTGCTGTTTCGGTATCACAACCAGCCTTTCCACCAACCCTGTCACGCCTGCTATTTTATGAAACTATGCATGGTAGTCAGCTTACTCCGACGCAGCATATAGCCACGTCGAATACTTCAACGCCTTTCAGAAGTCGTTCACGAATGATAAGAGTAAATACAATAGAGGATTTAGGTGAATCACAAAACAATAACAGACCAATAAAAGAACCCAATTCCAGTTCTTTACAAGGTAATATTAATGAACTATTAGGGGTTTCAACAACTAAAGAAAAGAAAAAGAAAAGGAAAAAGTCTAAAGATGGCCAGAAAAGAAAGAGGAGGAGAGAGTTGCAACGGGAAGAGGATAAAAAGATCCTCAGATTAGATGAATCGAACGATAAAGTGGCACCAATAGAGAATGGAGTTAATTCTTTTAGCAGTGCATCTGAAGCAACCAGAAATTTCAATGTCAATAACATATACAATCCTTTTATTACTAATGCTGATATAGAGAATACTGCCTCGAAAATGATGAAAGCTCAGGATAATATTGGTAATACTCTAATATTTAAAGGTCCTTATGATTTGAGCCAAAATCCTGGGGTCGGAACAAATGATAGAACTGAAAATAGCCTGAATTTGGCAAACAGTAAATCGCATAAAAATGAGTTTGGAAGTCATTTTGAGACTAATTTGCAAAGTCTGAATGTTGTTCCAAAAGAAGTTGGCGATATCAGCAAGCTGTTTATGAGTAGCGATATTGATAGCGAAGAAGATAAAGTAATATTGGAATATAGAAGTAAGAGCAGACAATATTCAGAGTTAAAATGGCCTGGCCATGATTCTATTGGCGATATAATCTTACAAAACGAGTCAACCACACCTGATAAACGGCAATCTAAAGTTATAGATAGTTCCAAAAAGGCTCACATTTCGAATAAACCAAGACTATTATCAGAAATAATGGCTGAAAAGTACCAAATGGATGGTATTTCGTTTCTGGGAAAATTCAGAACTCCTCACATTCCATTGACAGCTGACTATCAATCAAGTGATGAATCACGTTCAATTACCGAACAGAAACAAGAGAGCCCAGTATATAAAAAATTTGGTATCGACATACGAAAGGAAAGATTTCGTGGAGAAGGAAGACAGGATGATAATAATAATGTAAATTAGGCTTTACTGAAAACCAAGGCGAATACCACTCTTGTATTATATTTACATCGGTAATATAATTTAATAATATATAATTTAATAAGATAATATAATTTGTAACTTGTGAGTTTGCGATTATTCAATTATTGATTTCTAGAATGCAAATTGTGGCTCAAAACACTTGCACCCCCTACCAATAAATTAAAAAATAGATCCAATCGTTTAGTTATTTTAGATATTATTAAATAATGATTTCACCTAAGTTTGCGTCGACTCATTATTACCATTCAGCCCGCACATTGGCTAGTGGTAAATCATTTACTCCACATGTTATCAATTTGTATTTGGATTATAATTGTCCTTTCAGTGCTAAATTATTCTTAAAATTGAAGCCACAGGTTATTCCTAGACTACAAGAATTACATCCCAACCAATTTCAGTTTGTTTTTGTTAACGTCGTACAACCATGGCATACGAATTCTAATCTCCTTAATGAATTTTCTTTAGTTGTAGCAAAATTATTGAGGGAGAGCACAGAGAAAGCCATTGACACCAACAAGGTCTTTTGGGATGTCTCTGAAGTTCTCTTTGAAAATAAAGAGTTATTTTATGATACTGCTAATGTTAATTTAAATCGTAATGAAATTTATAAACAGATTGCCGATTTGGTATTTGAAAAATTGTCATTACCATTTTCAAAGGATGCCGTATTGAAGGAATTGACAATTAAGAGCGAAACGGAGAAAGAGAAACAAAGCAATTCAGGCAATGGGGCTACAGTTGATTTGAAATATTTCACCAGATATTTGAGAAACGTTGGTGTCCATGTTACTCCTACAGTAAGCATTAATAATATTGTTAATGATTCAATTTCAAGTGGCAATGACGTTGATAGTCTTATAAAAACATTTGAGAGCCAATTAGATTGATATTTATATAACTATGTATATGAAATATGAATGAATTGGAATAATATTTTAAACATTAGGTACAGTACTTCGCAAAACAAATTCAAACCAAGAATAAGGCAACTTGTCCGAGCGGTTAAGGAGAAAGACTTGAAATCTTTTGGGCTTTGCCCGCGCAGGTTCGAGTCCTGCAGTTGTCGCCACTTCTATTTTTTTTT